TAACTAAACTATTTTTTTACATCAATTCTAACAAAACTCTTAACCTTCATGCAAACTTTCTTAATATTTTATATTTTGTTGCTCTTTGACATCTTTTATATATTCTATTTTTTCTTTCACTTAGAATTAATCTACAACAACTACTTCCTATTTTTGAAACTTGTCAACTTTTTTAACAATTTTTAGACTATTATTAACTCAAATTACAATCTATTATTTATTTTATTTTATACTGATAATTCTGTTATCAATCTTGGTACCTTGCAATACTCTATAAGCATAGGTTGAATTTAAGTTAATAATTTTACAACTATTAACTTATTTAGACACAAGTTAAACTATAGCTATGCTCTTTTAAAACTAAACTTTTTGCTATTCACTTAGCAATTATTACTGTTTTTAGACATTGTTCTGTCTATATATTTACTAATTCACAATTAGTAATCTCTAAATATTATAATATTTGCCAATTAGCATCTACTCTTTCTTATACTTATACTTCATATTTCTCTATTTAGCAAACTCATCAATTTTATTAGGTTTTATGAAATTTAGTTTACTTTTCACAAAATTATTGTATACTAAAATGACTCATTTAATAATCTTGCTGACCAACTTGTCTGCAATTACCAAATATTATCTTATTTAATATTCTTAACTAATAATCCTTATAATCTTAACTATACTTCTTTTATTAATAAATTTCTTATTAAAATTTCTATCTAATGCTCTATTTGAACTATATGCCAAAGTTACATTATAACACTTTGAACATTTTAACATTATTTTAACAATGGTCTATCATTGCATTTAATATTAACTGGAAGGCTACATGGCTTTATATTAACAATAATTAAAAATTTTTTAATTTACTTATAACTTTTATTTATTTATTCTGAAAACCTTTTAAGTTAAAATCTTTACAAATAAACTTTCTGTTTTTTATATTTTTTATAAATATAACTTTTTTTTTTCTTCCTCCTATCATCAATACAACCAAACCAACTCTTCACTTTATTAGACTATTTGCTCTTTAATTCAAATAATTTATCACTTAATCTCTAATTCTTTTAATAATATTTTAAATACAACTACTCTTAATATGTCTATCAATCTTTTTTCTAATTTGTATACTAAAATTCTTACACTTAACAATTTCAAACTACTTAACTTTTTATATATACTTTTTCTTATTTCTATCTTATCTGATTTATTTTTACTAATCTTATTTCTACTATTTACAATGCTTCTATTTTTTATTATATTGCTACTACTTTTTTTATTAAACTTCTTTTTATTTAAACTAACAAATATATAAACAAATATGGATTTATTATTATATTTACATTCTGCACAATTTCAAATCATACTTTTTACTAACTTAATTTATAGTTATTCTTCTAGTTTATCTTCATCTTTTATTTTAATACTATAAATTATTATTAAAATTGATCTTTGAACTATCCAATAGATTAAAATATTATACTCTTTCTCTTATATAATTACTCAAATCCATACTTGGTAAGCCTTGTCTACTCTTGTAAGTTTAGGTTACAGATTATATATCTGAGTTTTTATTCTTCATATATAATTTAAAAGGAAGCTTTTTTTTGTAAAAACTTCAATTAAATTTCAATAAAGTTAAGGCATGATTTTGATATTTACTAATTTATTCTAATAATTTATGCATATATATTTACAAATATATTAATAAATAAAAAATAACTATAAATATTATATTATTTATATATATAATTAATATAAATAATTTTATACAAATAAATTATATTTAATTTTTATACACAGTATTTTTGATTTATAGTTTATAATATTTTTTAATTTTTTATTTTATTATTATCAAAAAATTTTTTCTTATCTTTTAAAAATTCTAATAATAATATATGTTAGAATTTATAATTTTGATTATTTAGTTTTTTTAACATTGTTATAAGAAGTTTATTTAAGAAGTTTTGATAATATTAATTATTTATATAATTAATATTATAAAAATAGTTAATTATTTTTTAATACAGTTAATTTTTTCTATAATCACATAGTTGAAATTATAGTAATTTTTTTGAAAATATGTTTAAAAAGAGGTTGTGCTTATATTGAAATTATATATATTTTTATATTAATTTGTTTAACAAAATTAGATGCTTATATAGGCATGATTATATAATCTGTGACTATAAAGAGGTCTAAATGTATTATATTGTTAAATTTTTATTATAAGATTTATATTTATAATTAAATTTAATTTATACAATATATTTAAATATAAAATTAATTATTTTTGTCAAATAAGAGCTCTAATTAAATGATTATAGAATTAATTTTTACACCTAAAGACATAATAATTCAAATAAAACATTCTGATACATTTATTGATAAACATTAAAAAGAATAAAAATCATTAAATGCTTTTTATTAAATATCTGCAAATAAAAATAATTTTGGTAATTGTTATTATTTTATAACATATTATTAAAAGTTTGCTGAGATTAATAAAAAAATTATAGAATTATTATATGTTCTAAATACAGAAATAATGCAATATTACCTTAATTATTTTAAAATTAACTTCAAAAGACATTAGTCTATCTTGTTTATGATTGAATAAAGTTATACAGAAGAAATTTATGATCAGATGAATTCAGATTGTTCTAAACTTTGCAATGACATATATATTAGAAAAAGGTTGTATTTTACTTAGTGCTAAATTTTTTTTTTTAAAAAAAATAGGTTTTGAACAATTGTATAAATTTGGTTATATTATTAATATAAGTATTAAGAAAGACAATTAGAAGGTTTTTAAATATTATGAAAACAGATGAATTAGAAAATTCAGTTGCAGTTATAAATATTAAATAGTGTATCTGGTATAGTTCAATCCTAGTATTTAAAAAGTTTAGATATAAACTAATTAAAAATAGTACTTTGAATTAGGTCAGATTAATCTAAAAACTAATTTGAAATTTCAAATCAAATCAGATTTGGGTTAGAAAAATCTGATTTGAAAATTTTGAATCAGGTTCAAATATGTTTCAGGTTAAACATTAACCTGAAATGAATCTGATCTGATTTGATTTAAAATTATCTAAATTAGAGATGCTTGAAATAAGTATTTAATATGTTTTTTGAAAATTATAATAGCAAGTACATATATTTTTAATAACAACTATATAAATATTCTTAAATAATAATTTAAATAAAACTCCAATCAGATTTTTTCAAACAAATTGTTATGGCAGCTCCTTGATTTTTATTGGTTAATGACTGCAAATCACAAAATTTTGACCCATATTACATAATTTACTAATTTCTAATCGTAATATTAATTTTTTTCATTACAAAAATAAAAAATTTAAAAAATAATCTTGCATTATAGTAAAATTTGTCTATGAACAACAATAAAATTCTGAGTAATTCTAACCAAATAGTTTGCTCATCACTCTTAGCCAATCAAAATCAGGAATCTGTCATGAAATTTTGTAAGGCAAAATTAATAATTTTTTTTTTTACAGCTGTTATAAATTCTGAAACAATAGATAAAAATTTGATCTGTTGAATTCAATAGGTTTTTGGATTCAATGTTATCAGAATTGGATTTTTAGCATTACAGTAATTCGATAACACTGAATTCAAAAACTTATCGAATTTAGCCAATCAATTTTTATCAATTGTCTCAGAATTTATAAAAACAGCTATAATTCTATGAATCATAGGGTAAAAATAAAAATTTTCATTTATTCTAGTATGTAATGCACGATTTTTACTGTAGTTATAAAGCATATTGAGTTTGGATTTGATTAGCCAACTTCGATAGTCATCATTACATGAATTTAAGAGCAAAATGAACGACTGAATTCATTTTTTAAAAAATTTAAATATATTAGCCTTAAAATTTCGGATCGGTTCGGGTCAGGTTGGGTTCGGGTCGGGTTCGGTTCGGGTTGGGTTCGGTCGGGTTGAAGCTCTAACCCGAAAGTTTTCAACCCGACCTGACCTGAAGTTTCGGGTCGGTTTCGGGTTGGCTCATAACCCGACCCGAACTGACCCGTTCGGAGCACTAGTTAAGGAACTAGTTCACCCCCTGTCAAAAAAATTAAAAACTAGTCCTACCCTAATGGTTTAATGTATAGTGTTTTAGTAGTTAAATAGGTTGTATTAAATTCGTTTCAGTATCGTAATCATATTTATTTAAGATCAAAATAAATTAGGCAATTAGATAACCTTTAGATCACAAGATTATAGGACTAGTTTTTGGATCAGACCTAAACTAGTCCCTAAAGAGTTCAATCTGAACCAGTTCCCATGGACCACTTAATATCCCTAGTTGCAGCACAAGATTTTGGTAGAGGTCCGATCTGGTTGAAAAATGAATATTCATTTGTTTTTATACTAAACAGCTACATTAAAATAAACAAATTAATAGAGAAAACTTCTAGCTAATAAGGATTGTCTTGTTGGCTCATGGTTAATAGCATTTCTAACCAATCAGCATATAATATTGAGCATGACATATGACACCCAATCTTGCATTTAATTGGTTGATTATATAATATGTATATTCAATGAATTATTCGGTGAAAATTTTTGTATTCGAATATTCAATCCAGTGAAACAATTATATTCGGATATTCAAATATTCAAATATTCATAGAATATTCAGATATACTATTCATCGGATCTGACCACTAGGTGTGACATATATTATTAATTTGAACTTATGGCTTATAATTTATTTAAGATTCTTTAAGGTTTTCACATAATTATCACGAAAACTTATTGTCCGAAGAACATAACTATAAAGGCATAAAGTACTTGATGTCTATTTGTTCACAAATTATAGCGTTTGATTGGCTAGATCAAATGTAACATAAAAACAATCAAAACAACCAATAGACCGATGATTAGCTATACTAGGTGTAATAAATCTAATATCAAATTGATTTTTTTATATTTGGTTCTTCAGACCTTGAATGATTTAAATTTTTCTAACAGGAATTAGTACCAGGAGTTGGAATAGCATTTGTGTTATTGTAACGTTTTTGAATATCATGTGTATAAGTACCAGGTGTCGGAATAACATCAATATTAGAGTAATGCATTGGAATTTCATCTTTATATTCACCAGGTGTTGGGATAGGTTTATCACTACGATTATTTGATTTTATAAAATATAACAATCCAGCAATTATGGCAATAAAAATAAGGCCACCTACAACACTGATAGCAATGATAATTCCATTTAAATTTTGACTTGTAGAAGGTGTTGAATATGAATTGGGTGAAGATGAATTTGTTGATGAATTTGTTGAAGGTGAATTTGTTGAAGATGAATTTGTTTTAAATGAATCTAGTTGATTTGAAGAAATCCAAACATTGTTTTGAACATCAAATAAATAAAGATTATTATTTGGTAATTGTGTGGAAGTTTGAAGACCTTAAATAAATAAAATACATTGGTTAAATATATTATTAATAAAATTAAATAAATTACGAAAAATTTGACAAGACTTGGTATAAGTTATGATGCAATTATTACTTATACGTTGTAATAGTTTTTAAAAAACCTTAATAAAACGAATTAATTACCAAATGCAATAAACATAATGTTATCATATAATGCTGCAGAATGATAACAAAGTGAAGGTGGTGCATTTGCCGAAGGAATGCTCGGAACTGACCATTTATATGGTGAAACATTCGTATCCAATATTGCAAGATCAGGTAAAGCACTGACAATAAAGTTGTTATTAATATTATCTGCTGAATTTCCACCAAATAATATTATATATCCGTCATGAGCTATAATAACAAAGATGAAATTAAATATTAATGAAATGTAACATAATAAATTACAGATATTATAATTTTAATATATTTACTTAATACAGTAGTATGAGAATTACGGGAAGTAACAGCATCACCATAAGCCTGCTAAAAGAGTATTATGCATAGGGTCATTTAATATCGCTTGCCAAAAAAAATAAAATAAAATATTGAAATTCGGAAAGTTTGAACTTATAACATTGAAGTTCGCTCGGCAAAAAAAATTTAGATGTTAGAAATTAAATACAATACCATTTTATACCAACTTAAAGAATTTGTATCAAAAATTTGTATCTACATTTAATTTCGACCGTTAAAAATGATATTCATTTCTCACATATAATAAATGTCGCGACTGAAACTTGAAATGTTAATTATTTTACTATGAAATTTTTGGAAATTTTCTGGGTGACTTTTTTTTTAATAATTATATTGGGTTCAGAGTTAGTTTTGATAACAAGAGTGTATAAGTGGATTTTGGCAGGGTTTATATTTTAAATAGAGGTCTCCGATTTCAAGCTTCATTCGCGACAATAAATTTAAAATTACTAAACCTCATTCATATCAACGCTGCTATTAACATTTGTAGCAACTAATTGTAATCCACCTATATAAATTATGAGACTATTATTCAATAAATTAGCAGTATAACCTCCACGAGGTGTCGGAACATTTACTGCAGTGTTCAGCTGAGACCATTTTAATGTGTTTACATTAAGTATATTCATATAGTTAATATAATTTCCTGTACGTTTTTTATTATTAATAGAATTGATTTGGATTCCACCAAAAATAAAAATATTTCCATTATTTGTTACAACAGCATTCATACGAGTCAATGTTAAAGATGCATTAAAAAATCCAGTAGTAGTCGTTGTGGTCCATTGTAATGTATCAGGATTAAATGTATATAATAATGAAGAAGGATAAATTACGTTTAGCCCTGCTTGATCAGTAGAAAGTCCTCCAATTAAGAAAATATTTGATCCATTTATAGAATTAAGGCATGATGTAGCAAGAAATTCTTTTTCAGGAGTTCCCGAAGAAACACTCCATGGAGGTGCATTTGTCTCGAATTTTTTGGCCAAATCAAGAAATATCACCTCATTTGAATAATTGCCATCGACAATACCATCTAATACACTAGTTTGATAATATCTTGGAGATGGAATAAACTGGCAATACACAAAAGTAAGTAAAATATTTGAAATATAATACGCATAAAAAAAGCTTAGAATACATTTCATTTTGAAAAAAATTAGACAAACCTAAATGGTTTATGGTGTAATTTTGACGTATGTTTCTTCTTTAAATAATTACTTGATGTAACAATTTTCTATATTTTGTTACTGTTGTGTTGCTAATGCTAATAGTCACAACAATTCTTATTGGATAAATAAAAATTCTGCTTTTGATTAGATGAAATAGAACTCATTAACCTTGGAAATTTTTGGTTCGATCAAACAATTGAATTATCGTTGAAACAATATAAAAGTCTAATAGAATAAGAGATTTTTTTTGTTAAAACGCGAATGATTTTATAACCGAAATTTCAAGCTGCTGGAGATTTTTTAAAAAACTTCAATTTGCTTTTTGAACTTTAAGTTTGCCAAGAAATTTGAATGTCGCCAAGAAATTTGATTCTAAAAATAGATCATGAAATTCATAATAATCCGTTTTTAGAATTCCGAGTTTTCGTTCATTTACGTTACACCGGATCTTATAATTTGATAAACGAAGAGTGGTTTAGTCTACATCATTAAATCAGAAGCGCCATTTACATCCGCCAAATTAAAACTGGCGGAAGAAATTAGGGATTTCCTAGTATAATAGGTATCCTCCTTATAATAAACAGGAAAGGAAAAATAAATAATTGTGATGAATAATCCTTCTTTATGACGATGGTATTGAATAATCATTTTATCCGTATTTTCATATGCAGGCTGATATTTCATAACTGCTTATTTCTAGGCCGAATTATGTTCATCATCGGCAAATTGGTTAATGCCAGCTGAATTAAATGGTTATACACGGTATTATATGGGATGAGTTTTGTCTGATATAAAAATCTTTATAATAAGGAAGGGATGGTGGACAACAAGTGTCGAATAAGTTCTTTATGCTAGAAACCGGAAGTCGGTACAAGTCCAGAGCCTAAAATGGTTGATTAATGGCCCAGCCCCTGAAAAACCTGGCTATGCTAAACTAAGTTTTTATCCCTTAAACCGTTCGAAATTCAGGGCAAATTTGCCCTGAAATTTTCCGATAATCACATGTATTACAACTACATTAAAAATAATGTTATAAACGATACAAGACACTATAAATAAGTATAAAAATGATATTTATTTATTTATTTATATTCATGGTATTTAATAAAGCAATTTGGACGTTGCTTATTAATACATAAAAGAATATTGCATACTGTACACCACACCTGGCTTTGTGGTGAATTCTTGTCATGTTTTCCATATTCAGACATATATTGAAACTGACACCAAACACAAGAACCTCTCTCTTCACGATATATTGGATAGTAACTTTGTGGAAGTAAATGATCAATAGGTAATTCAAATTTTTTGGTAATATAAAATAGTTGTTTTTTTGAATTTTGATTATATAATTCTGATTGAATCTTTGCTTTTTTTTCGGGTATGTAATTTTTGGCTCATGTCTAATGATTCTTCTATTAAACTCCACACTAAGTTTATTCTAAGATTTTTATGAACCATGATTAAGTTAAGAGCTTTTGAAATAAGAAATGTATTAATGATACTAGTATCAAGAAGCCAAAAAAATAATGGCATCCAAGTGCGACATACAGGTACTTGTGTACCATAATAACCCTTTAATTGGTCAGCTACATCTACACCACCCATATGATAATTGTAATTATCAATTATGGTAGAGATAGGAAGAATTTTTTTACTTGCATTACCAAACACACTATGTACTTTATTAGCATTAGTACTAGTTGTAGTGATCATCTTCTTTCTCTTTCTACTTGACATCCTTCACCTAAAATTTCATGTATAGTTGTTAACATAGTTACTGGACCATTATCCATCCAGAACACAACTAATACATCATCTACAACTGCTCCAGAAAGAGTATCCCATTCTATTTTTTGTGATTTTTTGATTTTTAAAAAGATAGAAAATTTTAAAGAATTACATCTTACTGTTCCACAATCATCATACCCATTTTGTCACATATAACTAAACAAATTTATACTTGTAAAATAATTATTCATATAAATATCAAATGTTTTGTCCTTAGGAAGTTGAGATATTAGATGATACACCAACCAGCTGATTTTATTAACATTTGGAATTGGATTAATTTCAGAATTAGATTCGATATGGGATGTAAAAATAAAATAGTAAGTATACCCTGAATCACACAATAAAATTATTTTATATCCCTCTGGTGTGGGTTTATTTTTAATTCATACTGTATATTCATTTCTTCCTCTAAATCTAGCAACCATTTTGTTAATTGAACTAGTGATTTTGGTAAGTAAATTAACTTAGAAATATTCCGAATATGCGAAACTAAAGTTTCAACTTTTGAATACCATGTCAACTGCGATGTTTTTATTTCTGGCTTTGAAATATAAAGATAACACTTTATCTTTTAATATTTATTTATTTTTTTTTTTTAAAAAAAAAAACATTTAAATTAAATTAAATTTTTTTTTTTTTTTTTTTGTTATGCCAAAGTAGAAACTTTATTAAGTAATAAAAGTAATTACATTAAAGATTTCT